CAACCTAGACGGTTATTGGCGATCTACAGTGTTGTGAAAAATTGTTTCCTATGTTCCTGATTTTTTTATTTTATTTATTTTGCATATTTGCCATATGCAAATTTTTTTTAGATAATTAAACAAATTTTAATATTTGACAGATATAATCCAACTAAATTTAAAGTGCTGTTTTTAAGAGATGATTTCTTTTCTTAGGAGAACAAAGCTAGCCGAAGTCTGCTGGAATTGTATTAAAAACAAACAAAGAAACAAAAACTAATTCTAAATCATTATTTAAATGTCATTAACCGCATATTTTGGAAAGTAGAGTTCAGTTTCTCTAGCAACACCCAAGCCTGATTACTGCCAAACCTGTTGAATCAAGAAATCACTCAAATATTGAGTGCCTGATTCTAAAATCAAGTAGGCCAAAAAAAAAGTCCATGATCTAAAGAAATAGCTGAGAAACAAAGTCTGTGACATCTATCAGCCTGTTCCAGTGAAACACGGTGACAGCCATTATCCACTAATGAAGAAAACTTTGAACGAGGGGACCCTTCCCAGAAGTGAGCAGCCTACCAAAATTACTTCAAGAACACATCGATGACTCATCCGGGACCTCAGTCACAAAAGAACCCAGAACACCATCTAAAGAACTACAGGTCTCACTTGTCTTAGTTAAGGTCAGAGTTCATGATTCAACAATAAGAAAGACACTGGGCAAAACAGTACCCATGGGAAAGGAGAAAACCACTGCAGACCACAAAGGCTTATCTCACATTTACCAAAAAACATCACCAAAGACTTTTGCGAAGGTATTCTGTGGTCTGATGAAAGAAACTGTTTTGGAAGGTTTGAGTCCTGTTAAATCTGATGTAAAGCTAACACAGCATTTCATTAAAAAAAAAACATTGTACCAGCAGGAAAACATGGTGGTAGTAGTGTGACGATCTGGGGTTGCTTTGCTGCTTGAGGACCTGGAGAAGCTGGCATAATTTAGGGAACCACAAAATACGAATGCCCTGAAACTCAAGCTCACTTTGGTTACGCAGCAGGAAAATGACCCAAAACACAGCAGCAAGTCCACCTCTCGCTGTTGTGCATGGTCAAAAGCAGGTTTTGTAGTGGCCTAGTATAGTCTGTACTTGAATCTGAGTTATTTTAGCATGACCTTAAACAGGTTGTTTATGTTCAAAAACCTTGCCTTGTGTGTTACTGAATTAAAACAATTCTGCAAATAAGAGTGGGTCAAAATTCCTTCACATGTGATGTGAAAAACTCAATACCAGTTATCGCAAACACTTAATGGTGATAACTTAAAAAAAACAAAATGCTCTTTTGTTTTTTTTGTTTTTTATAAAGATAATATATTACAAAGATAACATGAGTTATCTTTGTATAATATTAAAACTTGTATGATTTAAAACATTTAAATGTGAAATATATGCAAAAAATAAATCTGGAAGGGAACAAATACTTTTTCACAAAACTATATTTACATTGCTACAATAAAGAGAATGTTCTCAGTAAACAGGTTGACCTAAACATTTAATAGACTGAGAATTTAAATAATTGGTCTCATATAAGCAGCAAAAAAAAGAAAGAATGCATTGTGTATTTTGTTCTCTGTTTCAGGCTGCGGGTTTCTCCCACCTCACTGAGTTTGCACCCCCTCCTACCCCCATGGTGGACCATCTGGTCGCCTCCAACCCGTTTGACGATGACTTTGCATCCCCATCCAGACCTGGTGGGGCAGGTGGACCAGGTGGTGCTCCATTTCTTCCCAGCCCAGGTGCCGGCGGAGGAGGTGGGTATGGAGGTGGAAGCAGAATGACTGGAGGTATGAACTTCATGGGAGGACCAGGAGGACCGGGCGGTGGCCAGCCTGGACGGAGGCCCCCATTCGGCCCTCCGTCTAATGCTGGACCCCACAACCAGCTAGGTTTTGGAATGCCTGGCTTTGGAGGTGGTGGGGGTGGAGGCGGTGGAGGTGGAGGCGGAGCGGGTGGCTTCCCTCCTGGTGGCCCCTCTCAGTTCAATATGCCACCCAGCTTTAGTCCACCTATGCATCCAGGGCCAGGATTCAATCCCATGTTGTCCCCAGGAGGTATGGGAGGACCTGGAGGAGGGGGGCCACCACACGCGCGATTTGGGATGCCTCCACAGCAGCACGGACAGGGTGGGCACCCATTTAACAGCCCTCCGTTACCTGGTGGTGGAGGCCCAAGGGGGCCCTTGCCTCCCATGGGAGTAAGTGTGGGTCCAGGGATGAACATGATGGGAGGCATGAGTGGTGGCCCGGGTGGCAATATGGTGGGAGGCTTGCCAGGAATGCCCCCTCAAGGACAGTTCCCGCCTTCACAGGATGGCCCTTACCCTGGCCCCAGCCCACCGGGGCCAGGCAATGAGGATGGAAAGAGCTTCGGTGGAGGTGGTGCACCACCTGGGCCTCAGCAGCAGCAACAACAACAGCAACAACAGCAGCAGCTTAACATGAATCCAAATGGCCCTCCTCCTAATAATACAACACCTGGGCCACCTCCAAATTCTGGCCCACCTCAGCCTGGGGGTGGCTTCCCTGGCCACTCTGATGTCCAGCAGCCCAATGCCAGTACGCCTGTTCAGCCTCCGTCAGCACCACCACAGCCTAACCCCAACTCTTCTCCCACTGGTCCCTTGAATGGATCAGGTCAGCCCCAGCATCCAACACCAAGTCAGCTACAGCCCCCTAGCAATACAAACACCCCTAACTCTAACAACTCTACCCAGCAGCAGCAACAGTCAACCCCACCTAACTCTGCACCAGGCTCCACCCCTTACAACCAACAGAACAGCACTACTGGTACTGGGGGTCCCATGTCAAATACAGCCACCAATTCAGGTCAGAACAACATGACCAACAACAATGGCGGTAACACTCCCGGCAGCAACCCAAATCCCCCCTCTAATTCTACATCAACTCCAAACACCCAGTCTCCCCTGCCTTCTGGCCCTGCTGCCCCCTCAACCGGGCCCGGCTCTGGCCCTGGAAAACTCGGCAGCTCTGGGATGATTTTCCCTTGCGGTCATTGCATGGCAGAAGTGCACGACGACCAAGACGCCATCCTTTGCGAGGCGTCGTGCCAGCGCTGGTTCCACCGCGACTGCACAGGCCTGACGGAACCAGCATATGGGCTGCTGACTCGAGAGAGCGCTGCTGTTTGGGCTTGTGACTTCTGCATCAAGACCAAGGACATCCAGGCAGTGTTTGTGCGCCAAGGATTAGGCCAGCTGGTGGCAGCCAATGAGAGCTGAGGAGTAGAAAAGAGAGAGCAGCACTGATTTGGGGCGCCTACAGACAAATAGAGAGACTGATCTAACCGAATGACCTGTGTGTGTCTTGTCAGCTACTTGCCCAGCTTTCTCTTGACTATCCCTTTACTTGTTCACTACACAGAGAAACGCGCTCATCGACTTTCATGCTTATATATAGCACTTTGAGTGACTCTCGGCAAATTATTTTTTTCTCCTCTGCCCCACCTCCCCACCCCCTTCCTTCTTACAGGAGTCAAAACATGATGAATGTTAAAACTACACAGTCCTTCAGATCTCTAGCCTGCCAACCAGCAAAGCACTGACACCAACACACTACCTCACACAGTTTGTGACTGACTGGCACGGAAGCTCCCACTCTGACTGTGATTTACTCGATACACTCATGTGTCATATTGGTGATGACTTAAACAGACACACTTTAGGTGGGGAAGGCGAAGTTAAAATATTCCCACAACTGTGTACGGTGAGGCTAAATGAATAGAGGATACGTTATTTGACTCTCATCTTACTAAAACGCTTGAGTCTAGTACTGCCCTATCACATGTTAGCCTTTTTTTTTTCTTCTTTTGTTTTACTGCAACAAAGTGAATGAAAAAGGAGAAAAACATCACTATATTGCAGTGTAAAAACCTCAGCATCATGTGTATTGTGAAATCTTAAGTGTCAGCTGGGGTACGAATTTTTTTTAACAGTTCCTGCACATCCACACACACACACACTCTTTGGCTCTTACTTCTTGTATCATTTTATACCCAGTGCTGAATAATCCAAAGGAGACTCGGACGGAGATTTCATCCGCACTTCACAGAGGATCATGCTGTCGAAATAGTTGTAAATATTAGGACAAAACATTTGTCTGGATCTTCCATCAGCTGTGAACATGTCGCAGACTCTGCCAATGATCAAAATAATGAGTTGAAGTTGTGCGTCTCGGTGATATGACGTTTTGTTTTTATACAGTGCGTTTGAGTCGGCTGTTTTATTTTTATCTCTGCAGTACATCATAAATTGTGAAATCAGTGCTTTTGGGTGGTGTTGGCATAGCAAGTAGTGACATCATGTCATATCAGATGTGCATAGTCCTTTTTCAAAAAAAAAAAAAAAATGGAAAAAAAATCAAGATGGGCGAGGGGGGTGCATGTGAGCCAATGCAGTAAGTGTCTGATTTGTTGATGTTTATATTCTGGTTTCTGAGCTGCAGGAGACCTTAAAGTAGACCAAATAACAAAAGAACGAAGAAAAAAAATACCCATTTTTCACTTTTCTGGAGCAGTATAAGATGTTTCTCTTTCTTCTCGCTTTCCTTAATTTTCTTTAATCAATGTCCAAGTTGCCTTTCTTTTCTTGCTCTAAGCTGTTCCCTTTTATTTTGTACTGGTATTGTGCTGTGCTCTTGTTCTGCTCTGGTGCCTCCTGGTGGAACCCGGAGGAACCAGAGAGTCCTACACCCGGTGGGGAACAGAAAGGTACTGAACTCTTGAAGTAAAGACAGATTTTTTGTACTTGTCCATGTCTGTTTTTATTCCCATTTTTAACTTTTATCTGCTAATCATTCTATTAAAATGATTAGAAAACACAACAATGTTGTTTGCTGTAAATGCCGAGTTAACGGTGCTTCTTTAATATTTGTGTGGCTTTATTAATGGTTTCATCAGCTGGGATTATTACATGATTTTGTTAAGCCTTTATTAATGGATGAATAACTCATTCGTAATACTATTGTGACTCAAAAACACTTTTAATGTCTAATTTACTAATTTGCAAGTATTCTGAAAAATAGCAATAATGAAATCAGATTCCTTAAAATATTTTTCTCCTTTAATTAGTCCAAGTTAGAACCAATTACTACATTCTTAAAAAGGGAAATGTTTAAAGAAAATGATCTTAATATTTGAAATAATTAGCTTTATACAGTTTTCATAGGACTGTGCAGTCCCCTGAAAAACTGTACTACATTTGGCAGCATTAATTAAATAACATCATTCTTTTCTTTTTCAGCCATTCTATTGTAGATTTGCTGGTGTGCCCAGTTTAGGTTGAACACATTTGGCTGTAGAATATTTTGGTATACAGAAGGGTACTCTGTGGCTGCAAAGCAAGCCCAAAACATCACACCTCCAGCACTATGCTTGACAGTTGGTAGGAGGTAGTTGTGCTGATATGCTGTGAATTATGGCCAAACATCTACTTTAAACTCATCTGTCCAAAGGACATTGTTCCACAAGTCTTGCAGTCTGTTCCGATCCATCTTTGCAAACCTAAGTTGTTGCTTTTTGCCTTTCTTCTGGCAACCCTTCCAAAAAAATTCATAGTTGTTCAGTCTTTTTTTTTTTTTTTTTTTTTTAATTGTACTATCATGTCATTTAACATTCTAACCGAGGCCCTGGGGTTTTTATTGTCCTGGATTTCTTGGTCTGACCATGGGTTAAATTTGCTGGCACATCCGCTCGTGGGAAGACTGGCAGCTGTCCTGAATGTTTTGCACTTGTGAATAATCTTAGTGCAGAACAATGGACTTAAAATTGTATGGCGATGGCCTTATAACCCTGATGGGCAGAAACATTGGCTTCTCTAAGACCATTGTTGATGTCTCTACTCAGCATTATGCTAACACATCTGAACAGTGTTTATGTATTACACTTGCTGTTGATCAGTTAAGCACATTTGATTAGCGGCACCTGGCTGCTACTTAACCACTTCATGAAAGCAGCGTACTTTTTACAGACCTGTACCTGCAGGAGTTCAGATGCAATAACATTTATTATAATATTAATGTACATTATGAAGGAGCTTTAAAAAATAAAATAGAACCAAAATTATTAACTGAAGCATTTGCTTCATACAGTTACCCTTGTTCTAAAACCAGTTTTTCTAACCAGGAACAATAAAATATATAGAAGCTACATTTCTTAATCATATCTCAGTTTTATATTTTCCCACTTTGACCATTTGTGTAGCTTTTACATGGTCGTCTAAAATGAACAATGTTAATTATCACAACTATTCAGCATTTTACTGTTCCATATTGGCAGATACACATTTATTTTGAACCTGTTTAACATCCTGCATTCAGACCGTGTCATTCTCTCCAGATAACCCCTGGATACATTTTGCAAGTAGAGTTTAAGGATCTTTAAGAAAACAGACATCAAAGGATGGAGTTGCATCGTGTAAAAACTTTGATAGTGAGCTGTATTGGAGATGCTATATTAACATATTGAAATACCACCAACTCAAACGCCATTTTCAGCATGATTAAGAGATTATTTACCGTAAGACCTATGCATGGATGAAATGGGTCACACTCGATGTAGTGTATTAACCCCTGATGTGACTGAGCCCAGGCAGCAGGCTCCTCCCCCTCGGTCTTCCTCCCAACTAATGAAGGCGGCACTGAGGCGGGACGCTCACTATCGGATGTTCTGGCAACAGGTTGTACTGGTAGCAGGGGATAGTTACCCCTATGTTATCGGTTCACTGAGTAGCACCTTCTCATCCCACCAGCGTTGTTCAGCGCTGCTGCTGCTGCTTCTTGAAGGACTGTCAAATGCAAGATCCGTAAGTGAGGAGGATCATTCAGCATAAGGCTCATTTTTACAGGTGCAGTAAAATCTATGTGTTTGTCGTTGTTTTTTATTTTTTTATTTTTAAAAAATTAAACCAAATGTGAATGAGATCTGTTTTGCTGATGAGGCATTTTACAACATTTGGGTTTGCGCAGATGGACACCTGTGGCTTTGTGATTGGATTTGGCAGCCGCCCTCTCGTGTTCGGCTTTTCCTGTTCTTGATAATGAGCTAAACAAAACAAAAAAAAACCCCAAAACAAAGCCTTTTATTGTATGCTGTCAAGCGTTTTTGTTTGTTGGGTTTCTTTTAGGGGGGTTTTATGCTCTGTGTGCGCTCACAGCGCTGATGCGCAGGCTATAATCGGATCCTTCGGCGCTGCGTAAAGAGGATATGAGAGATTATTATGGCAGGTAAAAGCTACAAATAGGCTGCGACGACGTCTCGCTGGGAGGCAGGTGCGTCGGTTGTTTATCTTGTTGCTCCGCTCGTGGTCCCAGTGGCTCGTGGAAAAGGGAGAGAGAGGGAGGGGAAAAAACACAAGACTGTGGTTTCGACGCGCACCGATACTGACTGACCGGAAAGGTGGGTGTGACGCAATTAATCCACGAGTACACAGGTGCTTGGGTTCTATTTAATGGTTAAACTTCAAAACGATTATTTGTCGTATGAGTCAAGGTTTGTGAATTAAGTGTGCCGTGGAAATACAAAGCAGCCTTTGTAGCGCTTGGAGTAGACGGACGTGGCGGAAAAGTGGGATAAGCCTCATGACAGCTCACTAAAGTTTACAAGCTGTTCTAAAATCGAGTGTTTACTTGATTTTTGTCTTAAAATAAATTGCCCCAGAAATAGTCCTGACCTCAAATTTATGCTCCAAGCTCATTTTGAGGTGTTTGCATAAACATGCGCCTTTAACGAGGGAATATTATTACCATGTTGTTGCTATTTTAGACCACAGAACTGCCCCTTTCGTCTCCCAACACACAGCCCCAAAACTAGTTCTTCTCCTGTAGATAGTTTGATGTTTTTTGGCATCAAATTATTATTTTTCTCTTAGTGTAATCGTTTTAATTTGTGCGATTTTTACATAGGCTAGTTGTATAATGTAAATTATTTATTACAAGTTATCACCCACACAAAGCCATCCATGTGTGAATCGAGAAATACTGAGAAGATATTGCAAAACTATCAGAATAAAATCATAATGTGTTTTTTTTTGTTGTTGTTGGTGTGGTGGGGCTGGAGTGTTTTTAGGATTTGAATATCTCAGGGATGTCAGCTTACATCATAGCCCAGACTGGAGAAACTCTCCGTATCTCTCTGTTTCCTCCATGATAAATGTGTAAAACAGCAGAAAAGGGTCTGGTAGCTCATTGCAGACTCTTCTGTATTTATAATAAATATTTTTTTTTGTCTATAATAGAAAGTTTCTATAGTAGATATTGGAAAACAGGAAGTGTCATTTAATTGTTTATCTATTGTGCAACTATTTGGTGTTGTAATAATGGCAAAAAGGGAGGCCTTTATCATAGAAAAAGCTGTAAAATTAATGAAACTACAGTTAAAAGTTCAAAATCTATCCCTTTCTTCACATTCTCCAAAGCCGTCCACTGGGCTGGATTGGAGTCTCTGCTGGGCCAATCCTGGATTCCGAGCCTTATGTTTGACACCCCTGCTCTATAATATTATTTGGTGTACTTGGATATGTGTTTGGACTGCAGATGGTGGCTGAATCCGATACAAGACGTCTTTTGTCTGATGAATTGCAGGAATAAAGAAAGAAGCTGGAATTTTAATGTGCAGAGATTTCAGATTTCAGCCACGTCACCAAACTGTTGCATCAAAACTCGTCTCCTTAACATACTTGTGAACAAAAGAAACTGTGGAATAAAAATGAAGCTGATTGGGGTGCAGGAACAGCACCGGAGGAAAATTAGAAGAGTCGGCCGAGTGAGGAGAAAGGGACCAGAGATGGCTGATTGGCCAGTTTGGTGGCATTCCTGTGTCTGTTGACACAGCCAATCCTTGTGCATGAGAGAAACAGAGAGAGTATGAGAGGAGGTGAACCAGTTGTCGCCAAACAGTTCTCAGCTACTGGCTGGTTAACAACAGCTGTACAACAACTGAGCCTTTGTGTGAAGCCGAAATAGCCAAGAGAACATAAATACACCTGAGAGATTTCAGTGTGAGGACTGAGCGCCTGGGCAATAATACAATAGGCATCTTCCCTTTAAAAAAAAAAAAAAAGCAAGCACAGATTTTGCTCAGGCATAGGCCATTGTTTTGACACACAACATGGTCTGAAAAACTGGTTGCTTGATGTTTGATTTATCTCGCCCCATATTCCCCACTTTGTCTAACAGTTTTTCCGCATGTGTAGGCTTTATTGTTGATGCTGTCCTCAATTTCTTTTAACCTGTTCTTATTATACAAATGCAAACCACGCGCAATGCTGAAAGGGAACGTCCGGAATCCTGAGAATGGTTTTAAGGGAAGCCAGAGTCCCTTTGATCTGCTAATCTAACCTCACTGGCGGTCGAGGTCCTGCGTGTTACACTGTAGCCAGCAGTCAAGGACGGTTACATTTTAATCAAAACGAGAGGACAAATGGGATGATGGTGAGATAAAATTAACGTTAGGAGCACCTAAATACATGCAGGAGAAGGCAGAGAAGGGTTTTAATATGATCACATGCAATTTCATCTTTTTTGCTTGCAATGAGAGTGAGAGGAGCGATGCTTATTCACTCGACTACAACCAGATGGGGAATGCACAGCAGGTGGATGTGTGTATGCACAACCTTGCATATTAAAGTAAACAGTCTATGCCTGAGTGGCTCTGCTCTGAAGTTTGGTGGCAGGAGAGGGGGAGCCCATTCCTCGCATAGCCCCTTGTGTTTTATGCTCTGCGGAGCCTGGACAAAGGGAGGAGTATTCACCTTCTCATGGCGTTCATCGCCGAGGTCATTTGAGCTCATCAGACTGTAAAAGGTGGACTTGGTTAGGCTGTGCTCTTAATATTATGGCTGACTGAGTCACTTAAATTTAGTCTTTAAACCCAAAGTCGAGCTGCAATTCCAACCATCCTGAGCGCTGCGATGGATCTCTTTGTCAAGTTTGTAATATACACATTATCTTTGGTTTGACATTGAAAATAAGTTTCTGCAGTCATTTAGTGTTGCACTTCTATAAATTAAAGGTTGTAGCCCTGCAGCAGGTGGTGGTGTACCCCCTTTCGTGCTGTGACAGCTGCCATAGGCTCCAGCCCAACCACAACTCTGAATTAGAGAAGTGGAAGAAGGATGAATAGACTCATATAAAGCTGAAAGACTCTCAAAAACAGCTTCTGTTAAAGCATGCACTTTCTCATATTGAATCAAATATCATCCTTTTGTTTGACCCTCACTGATATTCCTCTCAAATACGAAGAGGGTGGCAGAATTTTTAACTTCCAAACCAGGATTCATTTCTCCTTCTAGAAAGTTTCTTCAGATGTGCAGAACCATTACAATAACTCGCAGACAGACATTCATAGAGACTTAATGGTTAAAACTGGTGGATTAGATCTTTAACTTGATATTAAAACTTGTGTTTTAAATAAATTGTAGTGCTAACTGACAGTGGGGTTGAGTAGGTCCTTGTTCCACCTTTTTTTCTAAGTTTTAAATTAAAATAAGTCATTAAGATGTTGCATTGCACTCATAATCTGAATTGGAATCAACTGAATGACCCTCTTTTTGTATCTTGTTTGTCTTGTTAACATTTGTACAGAGTGTGACTGTATAAATAAGAGGCTATAAACCTCCAGGTGTCTCATACAGAATGCCTCATGCAGTTTTTTTCCTTCTCACAATAGACACACCCTCTGGAAAAAAGTAGGCCTCGACCTGTACAAAGAGGTGCTGAGTGCCCCAGTGGCATATTTGGCATGGCACGAATACAATACAGTTCTTGCTGAGAAGGAATTCAACTTGTAGAGCAGCAAGAGAAGATGATAGTTTCATCAAGATATACGCGCAATGTGATATTTTTGCCCAGTCATAATGACTCCACCTGGGAAGAAGCAGGCAGTGTACACATCAACAAGAAAACAGACAATGAGAATTTAATCTTCTGGTGTGTGAGAAAGATTTTAAAAATGGCGTCAGCAGTTAGTCTTCCGTGTTCATGCAAAAATAAATGTCCTTGTTACTTGTTCCACTGAATCACCTGATTTGCATTCCTGCTTTTTTTTACCCCTTGTTTGCTCAGGCTGCTTGCACCAAAAACCAGGAAGTGAGCATGAGTAGCCTGTCTGCTGACAGGAAGATGCCGGTGGATCATGGCGTTCAGATACGCTTCATCAAAGACCTCCATGACACAGGCGGCGTTTATCCTGATAAATCCAGGGGAAACAACAGTGCGGCGACTCCTTCCAACAAATATGGTGTGGCAGTGAGGGTTCAGGGTATCTCTGGGCAGCCTTACGTGGTCCTGAAGGATGGAGAGAAAGGCGACTCATACGGAGTTCAGTTAAAAACCCCCACCTCCAGCTCGGGGACACCGTCACCGTACAACAGCCTTCCAAAAATTAATAAAGTTCCGAAAGAATTCTTAAATCCCTACACACCTGCTGATAACTCATCACAGTCCCCTGTTTCCCCAGCAGAGGAGGAGGATGGGGAAATTTTTGGGAGCCCTCTCAAAAGACCTCCAGGGGATGGTCAAGCAGGGACACAGGGCGAGGAGGAGAATGGGATGGGCAGAGAAAAACAGGTAGAGAAGCCGAAAGCTGAATATCTACTCAAAGCGACACCTAGTGAAACAGAGAAAAACACAGACTGGACAAGTAAAGGAACATATAACGAAGCAGGACTTAAACCTGTCAAATTTAACCCCGTGGGACCCAGAGGGGTAAACCAAACTGGCTCTGGTTTCACCGGCTCTTTGGGGAGGTACAGTGATAAGAAACCAAATCCAAATTCTTTGTCACAGTCATTCCCCGAACCTCCAGCATCAACTGACGAGGAGCCTGTCCCTGTAATCGACACCAACTCCCTGGCTCCCATCAACAAGCTCATCAGTAAGTTCAACAGTGGAACACCGGGTAGCGCCCAACAGACCAGAGGGCGCTCTGGAGCGAGGCAGCGGCTCGGATTTGAAGAGCGAAAAAGGTCCACAAGTCTTGACGCTCGAAAAGTTGTTGAGCCAGAAGTTTCCCTCCCCTCTCCAACACCGAATCCCTACACTTCACCCCAGTTTACCTCCTCCAGCATTGAGATCAAGATCCAGGCTACTCCAGCAAGTAGCAGCCTCGGAAAGAGCCCTCGATCTGTTGCCAAGGTGACCGCTTTCGAGGCTCCCAAGTCAAATTTCAAGATACCAGAGAAGTTTAATGCCAAGAGCACGCCTCCAACTATAGCAAAAAAGCCTGTAAGTAATAATGGTGCAGAGCCTGAGCTCTTAGCAAGAATTGAGCTGTTTGTTTTGGGTTTATTTTCTCATCTTAACTGATTCTCTCTTTGAAGGAGACACTTCCTAGAAGTCAAAGTGCAGAGATCATGGGTGGGGGAGATACTCCAATCAAGCAAACTAGCTTCAACATCCTGAAAAACAGGTAATTAAAACTACATGATACATTTAAAAAATGCTCTACTTCTATTGCTTATGTGGCTTGTTTTAACAGATCGTTCATTTAACTGTGTCATATTGTATTAAAAAATAAGGTGTAGCTCTCTAAATTAGCGAAAGGCCACAGGTAAACTTTTTTCATTCTCTGTGTCTGATGTTTCCTTTGTAGCATCGGTGACAGTGAAGGATTCCTTAAACCAAAAGTCAGCCCCATTGCTGAAACAACCGGCAGCTTAAAGGTATGACACAGCCTGGGTTATCTAACCACAGAGAGTATAAACTATATGGACTATGGACATGGCCACAGGTGTATAAAATCATGCAGTTTGCCTTTACAAACATTTGTGAAAGAACGGGTCATTCTAAACACTCAGTGAATAATAGTGTGCTGCTGTTATAGGATATCACCACTGCACCATTGCAACAACTCAGTTTGTGAAATCTCTTCCCTCCTGGATATTCCACGATCAGCTGTGGGTGGCGTTACTAAATGAGGCTCATTGTCATAGGCGATTTGTTTTGACCGCTCTCTTGTGTTCATGCTAGCTAAAATGATTTAGCTTCATGGCCTTTGTGGGATTTTAAAATTGTAAAAAGAAAAAGAGATTTTGCAAAGTCCATCAGTTAGGTTTGAAGTGGTGAGAGGGAGGTCAGGCGGGAGTCTCTCTGGACTGTGATCTTCACAGTCAACACTGTGATGTGTAGAGAAAGTATAAAGGAGGTGGAGGTATGCACTGGAGAGAAGAGGAATGAAAGTCAAGTCAGGATAGATGGGTGTGAATCAGATGGAGATAGATGGAAAGGAGAAGATGCAAAAAGCAGAGGCAGTGAAGGTGGATGAGTTTCAACACCTTGATCAACCATGCAAACGTACAGCGCAGAAGAGAGGTGATGATGAGAGTGCAGGCAGGGTGGAGTGTGGAGATGAGTGTCAGGGGTAATTTGTGATGGAAGGATAGCTTCAAGAGCAGCAGATAAAGATGCTAAGAATTTTACTTTGAGTGATCCATATATATGAGATTATAAATGAGTGTATCAACGAGACAGATGGTTTGGACATGTGATGCTGAATATTTTGGGGAAAAGATGCTGAAGATGGAGCTGCCAGGCAGGAGGAAAAGGGGACATCAAAGAGAAGATTCATGGATGTAGTGAAGATGAACATGCAGAGGGTTGGTGTGACAGAATAGGATGGTAGGGTTAGCATAAGATGATCCACTCCTAAAGGAGTGACTCCTAAAGGGAGCAGTCAGAAGAAGAAGAAGTAGGCCTTTCCTTTTATTCTAGTAATTTTTAACAGTAATCATGATAACATGAGTCAGAAAAGCAGTTACATGCTGGAGACACCCATGAACGCATTGTTTGCACTCAGTAAAATACGACACATCTTTCTACCATCCATAGTGTTCTCATATTCATATTTCACGAACACGATGAAGTGAAACTCAAGAAATCCAACCACGTCAACAACACTTGAATGCTTGGATAATGTTTTTATGTTTACATCGAGGTGCCAGCAGTATTTTGTGGTTTTGTTTTGGGGATGTCTAACCTACATCTCAGAAAAAGTCAATTATCTTAATGCTGAAAGTATAAAAAGACATTATTCACATATATAATTAAAGGGAATTTATTTAGCTTTTAGTGTAGATGCAGCATGTTGGTTAGACAAATTGTCATCTCTGGGACGGGAGCTGTTTCTCCCTTCATCTTGCAGTGAAGCTAGCAGATGGTTGGCAGCCTGAAGTTTCTGTTTCATTCATCTTGTCTCCTCGATCCTCTTTTGGCAGGCCAAAAAACTTGAAAAGGAGCAGGCTGACTATTCCTCTCCCCGTCTTGGTGCCATGTTTGCTGCTTTGCGCTTCTTGTTACGCCTTATTGAAACAGATTGTTCCACACTTATGAGAACACACACGCTTCCTCCTTTAAATTAGCATCTTTTTGAATAAATCTGCATACAGAAATGATTCCTTTGTGGCCTTACCTTCTCATATTACATGTCCTTGATTATGTATGATCCCTTGTTATGTACTTCTCATTGTGCTTGTGACCATGGCTGCCTGTGAATTATTTTGCCCATCTTGTCTCTTGGCAACGATGCACCTGCAGAGGAAAGCTCAGTGTGGTGAGAGCGCAGTCATTGAGAGGCATCAATAATTGAGTTGGAGTGGAACCCTGCACCAGCTCGGGGTTGGCTCGCTGGATGGGACAGAGCCTCCTCTGAGGGGTCTCGTTGTAAAAAAATATCCTTTTATTGTGACGTTAACCACACTGTCCACTTTAGTATATTGCTGTGGCTTTAGTGGCTTATTCTTCTTAGCAGAAGTCATCTCGGGCTCTTCAGCAGCTACTGAAAAATCCACAAACGGCATCAAGCCGTAGGATGAAAGAGTCTCCTTTTTTTTTTTTCCAAGGCTATTTATTCTCCAGCTCTGCCTTTAAAGCAAAGTGCTGCTTTTGTCTGTATCAAACCTCAACATAAGATCAGAGCAGGGATACATGATTGTGTTTCCAGAGGGAGATCTTTTTGATGCAACCAGTGTCCAGGTTAAAACTGACTAATAATTAGCCTTAATAATTAGAAGTTTGTATTTTGAGCTGTATTGACTTTGTGACACTTCACTGTCAGCACCCTCGTGTCTGTGGCTTTCTCAAAGTGCTTGCGCTGTGTTTTGAGTGTTTTACTGTGGTGTTACCAGTTAATGCTTGTTAAAGGGAAACTTGTTGAGATTATACACTGACACCCTTTCGTCTGTGTTGGCTTACTCGAGTCTAACATTGCTAATGTATGCTTGCTTGTTTGCGTACAGTGTGAAAACTGTTGTCTGTTTGTTGACACACAAAGGTCACATTCACATGTTGTGACCTGCTAAACTGATGAGTGAAGATTAGATTTTATTTACATTTCTAGAGAATTTTACTTCATACTGACAGACCACGTTCAATGAAAAAGGTGAAACTACTTGTCTTTGAGGTAACTAAGTTAACAAAGCCCCTGCTACAGATTGCAATGGTAACCCGCAATCAGGATTAGCTTTTTGGTCTGATCACTCAAGCCGCTAGCTTTGTCCACATGTCTTTTGTAGTGTAAACATTCATGTGCCCTGATGCTTTGCCATCACGGACGTAACAGGAAGATACACTCAGCAGCCACTTCATTATTAACACCTGTTCAGCCAGTCACATGTCAGCAACTCTGTGCATTTAGGCATGCAGACATGTTCAAGACGACCTGCTGAAATTCAAGCTGAGGATAAGAATGAGTAAGAAAGGTGGTTTAAGTGACTTTGAGCTTGGCGAGGTTGCTGTTTGGCGTATTTCAGAAACTGCTCATCTGCTGGGATTTCTCCACACATGTCTCGGGTTTACAGAGAAAGAAAGAAAATATCCAGTGAGCTGCAGTTCTCTGTGTGAAAATATCTTGTTGATGCCACAGGTCATAGGAGAATGGACAGCCTGTTTCAAGCACATATCAGTGCAACAGTAACTCAAATAACCATTTGTTGCAACTAAGGTATGCACAGAAGATCATCTCTGAATATACCAAACATGAAGATGTGCTACTGCAGCAGAATACCACACCAGGTGCCACTCCTGTTAGACAGGAGCAGAAAACTGAGGCAACAATTCACCAAAACTGGACAACAATAGAGAAAAGAATGTTGCCTGGTCTGATTTCTGCTGGTAAGGTCAGAGTTTGGCATAAGCCAGCTCGTGCTGAGTGTGTAATGGTGTGGAAAATTTTGTTGGCAGACTTTGAGGCCCTTAGTGCCTGCTGAGCATAATTTAAACACCACAGTGTAATGAGTATTGTTGTTGACCATGCCTTCATGACCACACTGTGCCATCTTTTGATGGTTGCTTCCAGCACGTCACATCTCAAACTGTTTTCTTGAATATCACAGTGAGTGCACTGTACTCAAATGGCCTCCACAGTCACCAGATCTCAATCGAATACAGCACATTTGTGATGGAACGGGAGACTCGTATCATGGAAGTGAAGCAAGAAAATCTGCAGCAACTGTGTGATGTTATCACATCAATATGATAAGTCTCTGAGGAATGTTTCCGGCACCTTGTTGAATCAGCGCCATGAAGAATTAAGGCAGCAAAAATAAAAACATACAGTGAGTGCACTGTACTCAATGCAGGATGTGTTTATCCATTTCGTCATCTGCCCTTTTTTGAATCACAAATTCATTTTTTATGTCAACAGCTCGAATAGCCCGAACCTCCCAAACTTGCTCTTAAACACTTTCTTTCCTTTGCTGATGTTGAAATTACGAATGAATCGTTTCAACCCACAACATTAAAATAAATACAGGTCATTACATAAGAAAAAGCTGTGTAAGTACCAGCTGTAATTCTTAAAGGTTTCAAATCTGAAAAGAGAAAAATCTTTTTCTTCTACGTTGATACTTCCTGTGTTTTAGAGTCCAGAAGAATGATCTGGTCATTTAGGCAAGAAATGTATCAAGTGTGAGAAGAAAGTCTTTCTTTCTTTTACTATTATTTAACTAAATATGAACCGTTCGCTCTTTCGACCTTTCTACAATCACAGGACTACAACCTCTCAGAGGCTGAATGCCAGCTGTGAATACTGATGTGCAGTTGCATTTGAATGTTTTCAGGGACGTGAGCATTAGGACAACATCTGGCTTTCAATAATTTCTTTTTTTTTTAAAAGAAGTATTTTTTGCAAATTTGTCACACTTGCATGTTTCAGATCATTTGACACATAATATTATACAAAGATAAACCAAGTAAAAACAAAATATGTTTATATAAATGTTGATTTCACTTACTTAAGGAGAAGAGTTATCCAAGCCTACCTGGCCCTGTGTGATGTAATTGTAACTGTAATAATTTTGGCCCACTACTCTTGTTTTAATTCGGCCACACTGGAGGTTTTCGAGCATGAACATCCAGCAGTTCTTTAGATGTTGTTGTGGGTTCTTGTGTGGCCTCCTGTATAAGTCATCAATACACTTTTGTAATAATTTTAATAGGCCAGTCGCTCCTGTGAAGGTTCAGCACTGTGCTTTTTCTCTCTTTCCTCCATTTGTAGGTAACGGCTCTCACCGTGGTTCACTGGAGTCACAAAGCTTTAAAAATGGCTTTGTGAGCCTTTCCAAACTGATAGATGTCACTGACTTTGTTTCTCAGCTGTTTCTTTAGATCGTGGATTTGTTGCTTTTTCGGATCTTGTAAACTACTTGATTTTGTCAGGCAGGGTCTCTTTAAGTGATTCCTTGATTCAACAGGTCTGGCAGTAATCAGACCTGGGTGTGACATGTGAAACTGGACTCAGTTTTCCCCAAAAATTTATTAATTCATGATTTAACAAGTGAGGCAATTACTTTTTTTTTTTAAACGGGGCATCATTCAAAATCTCCATTTTGCTTTTACTCAGGTTAGCTTAACATAAATATTAAGATTTATCTACCACATCTTTAGGAACAAAAACGAGAAATTGGTAGATAAGTTTTATTCTATTTAGTGTTCTGAACTAAATGCAGGGTTAACATTATACATACCTCCAACACTGCTAAACTTTTGAACTGTGGACCCAGCAAGAAAGGCTCTTTTTTTTAAAAAATTGTTAATACACATCATTATACAGCTGATGCAATTCATACTGAGTGCTCAGAAGAGCTTACACTTATTCCCTTATTATTTTATCCTCTTTTAATTATCTTTTTGTGAGGATAGAGAGCAATGTCCCAGAACGGGATTATCTACAGTCTGTCCTGCGGGGGACGAGAAGAAAGTGAAAACAAAATATATCTTCATAATCAATGATAAGTAACAGAAATGTGAAAGAGTCCCCCGAGGAGCAGAACCGTCCGTGATCCTCGCTTTGTCTCTTTCTTCTCCGTGTGTGCGTCCTTGTAATGAGTGTGTAGGAGGATAAGAGGAGTTTCATGGGCAGGCAGGCTGCGCTTATTCCCCCTTTTTCACTGAGGAGGAGGCCTTTCCGAACGGCAGAGCGGTGTGGGCGAAGAGCGAGCTTTTTGCTGCTTCTCCGGCTCTTTTTTCCCCCTGCAGCCTGTCAGAACGAGCTGCTTCTGTGGGGAGAGCGTCTGTGTTGACGATATCTGAGCGCACTGGCAGGGCTTGTTCTCCCAAAGATTTTCTGACTGTCAGAAACTAGGGCAAAGAATCCAAGCCAGGGGTTTTCTTTCAAAGGTTAAGATAATACAGAGTGCATAATGCATTGCGAGGCCGAAAGTGGCACTAGCTCCAGCCTTCCTCTTTGTGTTTGTCCCTTTGCTGTTTTCTCCTCGTCTTACCTTTTAGTCTCTTCTTCTCCTTGTGTGTGTTTCATTTTCTGCAGAAGGAAGGATCTGATGGAAGCCTCAAAACAGGAAATCTTGAGGAACTTCAGGAGCAAATCAAACGCCTCAAAAAAGAACTGCAGCAAGCCCAGGAAGAGTAAGTGTGTGTGGTTTTAAAACAAAGCTCCAACTTTTTGCTTCTGTGCTGTTTTGGAGCATATTCTCACTGTTGCACTGACTGCGTGTGTGCGTGTGTTTCAGACTGGCCGAGGAGCGTATCGCCAGAGAAATCGCAGAATCACGTCTGCACATGCTGGAAGATCAGCTAGCTGAGCTTCAGGAAGAACTGAGGAGGGTTTCCGAAAACTCATCTCATTCAGACTCGATGCAGACGGTCAGGACGCTGCACAGTTACGCATGCACAAACAAACTCACCATTGCACCCACCTGAATGTGCCTTTTTTTTTTCCTCTCTGCAGGATGTGGCCGCTCTGCAGGCCCAGCTGGCTGAGGCCACCATGCTGCGCCAGCGTCTAGAAGATACGCTACGCCAGCGAGAGCGGGAGTTGACAGCCCTGAAGGGGGCACTAAAGGAGGAGGTGGAGTGCCACGACAAAGAGATGGAGAGTCTGAGGGAGCAGTACAGCCAGGATATGGAGGACCTGAGAAAAACCATGGAGCAGTTCACACAGGTGGATGCCTCTGTTGTTTATACGCAGATACGACGTCACAAAATATAGAAGCTGGAGCTCTGCTTTTTCCAAACTGATCTTCTGAAGTGCACTCCTCACAAAAAAAATACACATTACACCATTTTCTTTTCCAACAAATCTTAAAATGAAATTCCTTTAGAAGATTACTCTACAGATGTCAGACTTGTTTTAGTTGCGAAAACAATTAACACTGAAACTAGAGATGAAAGCAATTAAAACTCTGCAGCTGAGAGTCATCAGGGGCTGTCTTTAAAAAATAAATCATAAATTTGTCAGGAAATACTGGAGCTGTTTGATGTGTGGTCTGTGATCTCTGCATGATTATCAGCGTCCTTAGAAATACGTCTAAATTAAGACTTTTCCATCACCAGCTGTATGATTTTTGGCTGAATTTCTTGAGTGTAGTCTGACCTGACAAGCTCTGGAAGAGAGATTTTATTTTGGTCAGTTAAAAACTAGAAACAAAGAGTTAATGACACACTTGTAAGTGCCAATTTAAGAACAATAGGTTAACTATTAACTGTTTAAGCATTCCCCTTTTATCACAAAGTCAACCTTCTTCACAACGATAGATGCTTCAGGCAATAAACTCTGACTGTGATGGAAACAAAAAAAACATGTGCACTCGCTTTATCAATGAGCAAAATCAGCACATTTCCGTCTGTACTTTCATAGTGAAAAATATGAAACAGTGTCCTTTTTTTATTTCTATTTCATTTCTACTTTGATCTTCCTTGTGATGCTGCTTCAGTGTCACACCAAGAGACTACAGATTACAAGATAATTTGCCTCTTCCTCCCTTGAGCCCTCTGTGCCAGGTCCAGGCAATATCTGTTATAAAAATGGAGCAAGTGCCTTTATGGGGGGGGAGAGAGGGACGTGCCCCACTACTGGAGCTGCCTACAGTGGATCTAACATTTGTTGTCTTTGATTATCTGAAGGTTCAAGCTTGGCAGGCTGTCATTGAGAGTTTTTAGAGGACGATTAATAAAATCACTTTTCTTTAGTTAATGTATGACTAAAAATAGGCAGTTTGCTAATAACAACTAAGAGATTTACTGTTTTACATAATTCTCCCGCTCGTTTCGGATCCATACGACGAGGGTTAGCATTTGGGCCGTGTTGACAAAGAAGGAAATAAACTCTCTGGTTACAGGAAAACCTGCAATGCAGCAATCACAGTGAAAGTTTCTCTGTTTCCGATCACTGAGTGGATTTTTTTTTTCTTGTGACATCACAGTCATACGCAATTTCTTGGTACAATTGTCTTGGGAGAACAATCAGGTTATGCCTGTCAGGTAGTTTGTGTCCTGCATGAATTATTAAGGTGATGTTAACTTGTGCTTTGATGTTTTATCTGCCCCTCATTCACCCAGGCTTTATCTTGCTATTCGGTTTAATGCAGTCAGTGTTCAAACCAGGAGTCAGGGTATCACAAGGTCAGACTGAGCTTGGTGTGCAGAGTTAAAGAAAGAGAATTTTACTGCTTGTGATTGCAGAGTGAAACTTTTCTAGCTGAATTTTTGGTAAAGTTTCTGTTTCCACCAGCCGACTGTTTCTGGGGTGCTGCGGGGTGTGGTGAAGAGGAAATCTGAAGAATATATGTATATACAGAAATAGATCATTATGCAGATTTAGGGGAAAGTTGCAGCAGTGTCAGAATAAAAAAGTGTAACAGACAGCCGGAGAGCAGGAAGTAAGCAGACAAAGCTGGCAGTTGCTTTTGATGAGGTGATTGATTTGGCGAGCGGAGGATTAAAGCGGTTGAATCGCTGTTTACACCGACTGCACAGTACCGACCGTACAGCACCCTGTCATGTTTACCTGATATATTACGGTGATATTTCTTATGTAGTATTCTTCAGACGTGGGATGCTTGTTGATGAAGGTGCGAGCTGAAAGATCTGTTGTTTTCTTTTTGTTTTTTTTCTAATCCTGCGGGCTGAACATTTGTCAGAAAAAAAAATTAAAAGAAAATGTGATAGATTTGAGTGCGTTAGCTCCTTTTGAATCACTGTGCTTTAACGTGTCACGATAATGAGGAGGAAATGAATGTGAGGACCAAAAGCATTTTAAACGCTCACTTTCACTTCTCTAAAATGAAATTCTGTGTGCGTTTCCGTGCGCCTCAGTCTCAGGAGCAGATCGAAGAGGAGAGGGAGAGGGTGAACGCCTCCGTGTTGACACTAGAGCAAGAGCTGGAGAGCTGGAGAGATCAGGGAGAGCAGTGGAAGACGGAGCTGGAGGCCACCACGCAGGAGCTGCAAACGACCAAAGAGGAGTTAGTATCACAAGTCCTGCATCTTCTTTAACATAAATGCATATATGATCGATCACCTCAGTGAACAGCAACAAAGACATATTTGTAAACCTATTAGAAAGCATGAATATGCATGCTGGTGGAACATGTTTCAGCTTTGGTCATGCATCAGAAACACTCTGTCACTGTCACATTTCGTATTTCAAATGGGGAACTGGTTCAAATCATCTGCATTGCTCACTGAAAACTTTACAACATCCTGTGAAAAGAGCTCTCTATGCCTCAGTCTAATAATATTATATTTCTCCAGAGTTATTTTTAATGCCTGCCATGTTTCACTTGGCTTTTCATTTGGCAGGAACGAGGCGAACCCCAGCAGCCAAACGTGAGAGAGAAAATTAGTCTTGCTATGTTTGGTTTGAGTAGTGTAGATTTAGCCTGGTTTCAATGAAAACTTGAGATCCACTCCCTGAAATTCACCTGTAAGGCTCCCATCAGAGTGGATTCTGTATCTGATGATGTCTGATTCGATCATTAGATCAGTGAACCCAACTTTACTAAACAACTTTCCCCTGCTCATCCTCACTATCCTCATAATTTTTCTGTTTGCTGATGAAATTCTTCTTCCTTTAAATAAATAAATAAGCAAATGATGAATTGCAGTTTCGTGTGCAATCTTAGAATCTGAGAGTTTTGTGGTTGTGGTGATTTCATAGTAACTTTTACTCCCTTGTGCTTTGTTTGTTGCTTGCAGTTGCTGTTTTTGTGCAGCGTTTTACCCGAGCTGTGTGCATATGTGTATTTCATTTATTTATTTTTTTAATGGCCTTGCTGTTTATAAAGTGACTCTCTTTCTTTTCATAGCTTGCAAAAATCTCATTTGGAAAAGGAAGACTTGGAGGGTGAGCTAAAGGATCTTCAGGATTCATTGCTTGCCAAGAAGAAACAAACGTCTGCGTCTGATGATAACCGTTCTTTAGCAGAGGTAATTCAGCAAAGATTATGCTCAGTGTGTGGGTGAAATGCAGGAGCTCATCTCCTTTGTTTTACAGTATGTTTTACTCCCTCTTTTTTTTCCTTTAATGTGTCGCAGCAGCAGTGTGGATGTGGGCTTTTGCTCTTTTTCTTTAAATTTTCCTACAGACAGACATACTCACACTCATATGCCTCTTATTAATACATTATTTTGCACCCTGGCACATTCCTCTCACTCACTCACTCGCTCACACACATTATCCATCTCTGATTGCCCGTCCCTAGGAGCTTCGGTGTTGCCATAACGACCTGAAGAGGGCTCGCACCGATCTGGACAAACAAAGAGGTCAGCTGGACGAGAAAATCGAGGCACTTCAAGCTCTGAAGAAGGCGAGCGGAGAGAAAGAGGCCGCGCTTCAGTCCGAGATCAGCAAGTTGAAGGAGCAATTTCAGAAAGACAAGACTGAGCTGGAAAAGGCACTCGAGAAGGCAAAGGAGGTGAAGCATCATCTGGATTGTAGAAACGAAGCAAGAGTCTTACAGCATAAAATTAAGGAATCCTGCACCATTTGATGTTTAAAAATAATGCAGATATGGAAGTTTCTCTTTAGATTTTAAAAAATAACAGGAAAAGTGTAGGCATAATGAGCATGTTCGACACAGAAAATAAAGCTTCAGTTTCTGTCTTCTCTCTGCTTTGATGCACTCCTGTCTACAGTCGTCAGCTGGTGCAGGAAGTACTGTGGTGGACCACGGCAACAACAACCTGGAGCTCCAAGAGACAAACAGTCGCCTGAGGGAAAGGCTGGCCCGCATGGTACTGCTCAAAAAGCGGCTACACTCCACAGCTGTACACACAAGCAAAATTATGTAAACACATATACTGCACAAGAACAAAAGAAGTGTCCTCCCACACAGACACTATATTCAACCAAGTGATGTGAAAAGAATTGCACTAAAAAAAAAATCCCCTTTAAGCACATAAGGCTTAGAAATCCCTCTGGGATAAATTTGCTTAAGATGAGCATTGTGGATTGTGCTGTATGTTGACTGGAACAGCTGTGTATTCCAGCTGTTTAAAGAGCTGTAATCTGTGTGTGGAGCAGTCTTTCACAAATCTGTAGACAGAATCAGTGCACAGCAGTTTATCAAATATGCAGACAAACTGGACTTTTTGTGCAGTCGTCACGTTAATGCTTCAAGTGCAGAACTTCGATTTTAATTCTGCTTTAAATATGAAAGCTTTTTATTATTTGTCATTCTCCTTGTTTTGTATGCCAACCAAATTTAATAACTTATTACATGCCCAAATTATAAATTAAACACAAGGATTTATTCCTTTTTTTGGCCCAGTGCAAGTCTTGACTTGTAATACAGTTTATTTGAGTAATAAAAAGACAATTTAGTCTATCTGCTGTGTTCATAGCTTGATATGCTCCCCAGACAAAGCTTCACTCCAGCATCCCTCGGAGCCCGGAGGACGAGGATGCCGTGGAAGCCCTGGAGGATGAGAACCGCTCCCTGAAGTCTCAGCTGGAGGAGGCCAAGAGAGGAGCCGCCCGCCTGAGCAAGGAGAGGGACGAGCTGGTCCGACGGTTGGAGGACCGAGACATGGAGAGGGAGGCGCTGAGGAGGGGCAAAAGCGAACTGGAGGAGCAGAAGAGGCAGCTGGATCGGGCGGTTGAAAAGCTTAACAAAGAGGTGTGAAAGAGTTATGGATGGACAGATGGAGATGTCATTTTCTCGAGTCTTTCTTAATTCTGTCTCACTCTCAGGTGGAGCTGATGATGGGAGATTCTCGTCACTCTGTAACCAACCTGCAGATACAGTTTGATGAATACAGGGAACGCTCGAGGAAGGACCTGCTGGAGGCGCAGCGCAGCAGTAAGGACAGGCTGGCCGAGCTGCAGAGGGCTCAGACCAACCTGAAGACCCAGCAAGAAGAGGTGAGGAAAGATGGCTCTAGAAATGTACAGGGTGGTAGCTTCAACTGCTGCTTAACTGACACAGTAGAGGTGGGCAGATCGCTGCTATTGCTATCAGATAGATACTTTCTATCCTCTAAGTTCAGTATGTAGCAAATTATCTAGGAAATTATTGTTTGGAAATGAAAACATACACCTCAGACATTCACTATAAAAAATGTCTCAACCTTTTCCTGTTGACTGTTACTATTTGATTTGAAACCTACAGCACATTTAAACAACAGAAGTTGACCTAAAGTTCTTTACAGACACATTTACATTTCAAGTCTCCAAAGATTTCAGTTTCAAACGATGATTAAAAGCTGAAAGGTCTCTTTTGTTGCGTTAACTAATTATTGTGGAAAGTAAAAATCATAGTGATTTAAACCAATGATTCATCTGATAAATCACAACACACTGCTCTCTCCTACATGAGCCGCCTTAATTGGTTAAAAGTATCGGCATCTGTGTCGCTATCGGTTTTGGCAATAACCTGTATAACCCTGTATTTATTTGGTATTGGATTAATACCAAAATTTACAGTATGACACGGAACTGTGACACATGTGTAAGCAAGTAACAACGAAAGAGCTGGATTCCATCGTCTCATTGGTGGATGTGAATCTTCCCTCCCTCCAACTGGTTGATATTTTTCACGTGTTTTATTCAAACAAGTCTTGTATACACATTTTAATCTATTTAAACCTATTTGCCTCTCAGCATCCCTGCCTGACTGTCTGTCTGTCTGTTTCTGAGTGTGGACATTCAGTAATAGTAACACAGACACATTTTTGAGTCAGTTGTCTGCTTCTATGTGAGGTTATACTGCAGTTCAAATTAAAACCATCACAGTTTCAAGTCTTTCAGCTAGCACTCACACTTTAAAGCTGCCTTAAAACCCTGCCTTAGTGGATTTTTTCATCAAATATTGACTGCTATTTGTCTTCAGTTTTCTTAGCCAGCCTATTTATCTCCAACTTTATAGCAGCAAGTGAGTCCAGCAGTAGCAACAATCCCACTGCGGTTTCTCCAAGAACTGCATAGTCCAGTTTTAGTGTCTAATATGTTTTTGCTGAAGAGTCGCAATTACTTATATGGGGCATAAAATAGATCAAAGAATTTGGAGGAAAAAATGTGGTGAGATACTGAAGCTGTTGAAACTTTAAATAGAAATTTATGGAAACATCACATTCGCAGAAGGTACATTTAAGTTTCTCACAGTGAAGAAGTGCGGATTCTAAAATGAGCAGCCATGCCCATTAAACTTTGAGGTAAGCCTGGAGGGAGTTATGAAGGCAAAAAAAAACCAGAGAGAAAGGGGAAAGAAAAAATCCATGAAAATAGAAAATTTCATAAATAATACTTTGTATCTTTTATCCAGGTTTCTCGTCTGAAGAAGGAGCTGCTGACGTGCAGTGAGGAGAGAGACAGCGCTCAGCTGGAGAGAGACCTGCTCAACAACCGCCTCAAACACTTGGAGAGCGAGTTCGAAGCAGAAAAGAGCACGCACACTGACCGTGCCCGGGAGGTCAGAGGTCTGGAGGTAAGGCTTCAAGGTCAAAGGTTATAACCCCGGAGTTATGGAGGGGATTAAGGGGTGAGTCAAAAAAATGGAGATCAAGTGTTACAAGTGGTTTGGGAGTCATGCACGGGATGTCGAGGTGTCAAGTGAAATGTGAATATGCATCACTACACATTTACTTACGTGTGTGTGTGTGTGTGTGTGTGTGTGTGTGTGTGTGTGTGTGTGTGTGTGTGTGTGTGTGTGTGTGTGTGTGTTCACAGGATAAAATTAAAACCCTGGAGATCGAGCTGGATGAGGAGAAGAGTAATGTGGAGCTTTTGAACGATCGCATTAGCAGAAGCCGAGATCAGGTGCGACATACATTTGAATACACATGCAAATAAGCAGGAGACATTTCACTGTAATATATATTTCATAACTTAACCTGCTCACTTTATCTACATATGATTATGGGGGTTTTTTTCTCAGGTTGACCAGCTTCGTTCAGAGCTCATGCAGGAGCGTTCAGCCAGACATGACCTGGAAATGGACAAGAGTGCACTGGAGAGACAGGTGCGCACGTACACAGATCTTTAAAATGGCTTCTTACAAAATATGTGGCTTGCTAGTTGTCACACTGTCACTCTGCTTGCAGATGAAGGAACTAAAGTCTCGTGTGGCAGACATGGAGGGACAGCCTCGACCCTTGGCTGGAATCACACTTCTAGAAACCAAAATTCAAGAGTTAGAGGAGAAACTACACAGTGAAGAAAGGTATGACTAAACAGGTCATTTTTGAGCACTATTAATGACGTTCACTATGCAATCACTAAAACACTTGAGAAGGAGAATAAATGTTTTTAACTGCCAATGCATACAGAATAAAAATTTTAAAATGTCAAAGAATGACGTGGTTCATTCTGAATTTCCACGTGCAGAGAGAAGGCCACTATCCAAGCTTCTCAGAGGCGGACGGAGAGAAAGCTGAAGGAGCTAAACGTCACATTAGACCAGGAGAGGAGCCAGCACGTTGAGCAGAGAGATCAGGTAAATATGAGGATTTGCATGCTCATTGGCTTTAGTGTTTGCTTTCTTTTTTGCTTTTTGCTCTGATACTCAAACGGGATATAACCATTTAAAGAAACAGATTCACATTTTGGGTTTCTTGCTAAAGGTTGCATGAGAAGATGAGATTTAACCACCTAAAATGGGTTTAACGGTGGTTAGTTTAGCAGAAGGAGCTGATACCAAACCACCTGTGACTTTTTTCCACACTTCAGGTTTTGATTTTAATAAATAAACAGGAAATTGAACAGTATGTTAATCAGAGACCATTTAAGATCTGTTAGTGGGGATTTTATGACTTTCTAGCTAGTTATTTTCCAATAGTCTCTTTACTAAGCTTCCTTAAAAAGATGGTAGCCTAATAATTCCATCCTGTATATGTAAGCGCTCACCAAACCTTACAAATAAGTTAAAAATATTAAACTTTTTGAGTTTTCTTGTGTGAAATATACTTTTTAAGTTTTCAAACTCTGACTTTGTACTATTTTACCAACTTAATAACTGTGTAAGAATTATCCAGAGATAAAGTTTGAAGTATGCCTTCTGCTTAACCGCTGCTTCAGTTTAAACAGTATTTAATTGCTTCCTTACATCATCACTAATCTCATCTGCACACCTCCCGACCCAAACCCAACCTCACTCGGGTGCTAAAATGCTCCCTGACCTCCCGTCTCTCATCCCGCCTATACGTTACCTCAGCCTTCATAGCTGTTGTCACTCCCTTACGAACCCACACATCCAGTGATGCTGATGCCTTTAACCCCCAGCCCTACTCCTTCCTTGCATCACCTCCTCTGTCCCCCTTTAACCCCCGTCCTCTCCCTCTCCATCCCCAGTTGACGCTGCGCGTGAAAGCCTTGAAGCGTCAAGTCGACGAGAGCGAGTTAGAGGTGGAGCGCTTGGAGGGAGTCCGCCGTAAAGTTCTCAGGGACTTGGAAGAGCAGCGGGAGCTGCAGGAAGCACTGCAGGCCAAAGTGACAACGCTGGAGAGTGAATTAAAGTAGGCCTTCTCCTTCGTCACTATGAAATAATGTGGATTTCTACATGACTCGTGTGTATAAATGCTCTTTGCACTAGGTGGCACTGTGTAGTAACCAGCTGAACAGTTAGTCAGTCTGAATGGATTTTCTGTTGCTTTCTTTCTCTCAGGCGGAAGTCGCAGCAGGCACATCGCTCGACTCTGTCCTCCTCTGCTTTAAGCTCTGAGGACGAGGACGGTTTCTATGACAGCAAAATCTCCTCTGAATGAGAGTCCTGAACAAGAGCGACCCACACACCTCTAACTGCTAAATGACAGTGACTACTAGCATGACAAGACCACAAAACTTTTTTACTCTTGAGCATAAACACATTTTCTTGTATGAGGTTCGACTTGTCCCAAAGTTATGTTTCCCTTGTGTCTTTTCAACTTCAAGCTTTAAACCTGCTGTGTTGCTGAGCTTTCCAACACTGTGCAGAAAGATTATCTGAAAATTTCATGTCGCCAGCACATTCTCAAAATGTCAACAAACCACTGAAGCTGTGTCTGAAACCAAATCCAGAACACAGCTTGTGTAACTGGAGTTTTGCCATCAGCGGGTCATTTGTCGGCTGTCAAACGACAGCGAGATGACAGCAACGCAAAAGGACGGCATAACAAAACAAAAGGGAGCACGACAAGTCAGAACAGCATCAAACAACAGCATCAAACCGCAAGATGTTTGAATTGAAACGGCGTGACGTGGCCATAATTTTGGCACATAACGAGCCTCGTATGTGCACAGAAATGTATTCAAGTCCTCAGTTTTGTGAAGTCATTTGCGCCTCTCAGTTGGTTTTATTTTCAGTTCGGCGGTCCAGTCCAGAGGCGGGCGGCCGTGATCATTACACTGCATTTTTGAGCCTTCCGATGTGATTACGATCACGCCAGTGCTGCCACGTTTTATCATTCGCGATCTTTCGTTTCTCTTTTACATCGAGAAGAATTTACAGCTGCTGCAGATTTCTACTTACTGTGCTTCAGCTTGTGTTCTCAAGAAACTTCTTTACTGTGTTTCTACAATAATTACTGTTTATTACAGCGCTAGTATCTGACATTGTGGTACTGTTTATGTTCCCATCGTACGGTAGATGTGTAGTTTCATATCACAAACCAAGAAACAAAAAGGCTTTGTTTGCTTCTGCATGTTAAGTTACTTCTTGTCAGTGTTTGAAGCTCTTAGTGTTTCTTTGTGTATCCAAAGTGATGTAATGTTTCGTTTTTTGTTTTACTTTGAATGTGACTATTACAGGCAACTTAATCTGAGCCTTCATTTTTACACTGGATAGCCGAGCATACCTGAAGACAATCAAGTACACATACAGCACTTTGTAGCTTCAAAGATTAAACTTTTCCCCGTGATGCTTTTCTACTCCACCCATCGTATTTCTCATGCGGTTTCATGTGCATGTCTTCACTCAGATGCCTTAAAAACGAGACCCATATTTTTATTTTAATTGCCGCATGTGTTCTGTTTATAAGCTGCTGCTGTAATGATTTAAATAGTGTTTTATATATGCTTGCCTTTGCTTGTGTCTTCCTCTATTCGTTCCCTGTTGGAAGAGAAGCAGATTTCTTTTTTTTGCACCAGGTTGTTCTAAATGTTGCTTTTAGTCTCCTAAAAATATTTTATTGGTGTTGTTTATAACACGTTAAACATGTTACCTTTGTGACACATTTGTTTCTACTGGGGTAATTCAGTAACAATGGTGTTAAAGTTGAGATGAGTTTATTAAGCTGACATATGGCACAAAACTTTGTAAGGTTCCCAACCTTTTGTGTACAATAAAATAAAGAATATGAACCTTGCTGCTTTTATTTCATAATCTAAATCTTCTACACTCTACCTATTGCATATTTTTACTGCAATGATTTCAAAAGCCTGTAAACTCTGCAGGTAAAATGTTAAAAGAAAAGATACCGGAGGCATTTTAAACATTTATTACAGACATTAATTAGAAAGATGCAGAAAATACGTCGGAGAAACATGCTAGAAAGATTTGTATTCAAATTGTAATTTGGGACAATGTGTTTGAGAGTTAAAAGATATGGCATAGCCTTTTTAAGTGGTAAAACAATAATTAGGTGCTCATAGACTTCCTGCTATCATTCCCCTTAGTCCTTTGGTTCTGCATAAGCTCTGATGAAGAGAAAATACAGACTTGATCTTGTTTTTTCTAAAATAGTATCAGGTGGACATCATCCAGAAATACTCTGTGTAGTATAAACTATTCTTTGTGATACCATCACCAAGGAACAAGGAAATATGAAAATATGGCACTAAAACAAAACTGCCAGAAGATATTTTGAGTGAACAGAATCAGGCTGCTGGAGCCTGATAATATTCTAGGATTTACAAAAACAACAAAAAACGAGTGAAACATCATAAATGGAGATCCAGCATATAAGGCAAATACAAGAAAGCTGCCTAATAGAGTTCCAGCTGTGTTGAAGAATAACGGTGGCCATACCAATGATTGACTTTCAAGCTCTTTGGAATTGTACAGACCCTGTAATTGCTTTAAGTAGTCTTTGGGAATATTTCTCCAGACTTCTTGAAGGACATTCAAAGCTCTTCTTTGGATGTTGGCTGCTTAGACCAGTTATTGGCAATTATGCTTGTAATTTGACATAGCTCAGAATTTTCTTCAGCAGCCACACTTCCACTGAGACCATTTCTGATTAGGCTTCAACAGACAGTAGATGGATCAACTGAAGGCCCAGATGTATCTCTTAGATTCTGTGTCAGGTCTTTGCTTTTCCTATTTCAAGATATGACTGATAATTGTTCATCAGCTGTAGATATTTTTTAGGCGTGCGTCTTTTGTCCCCTGCTTTTCAATGTATTCATGCTTTTAAGGACACACTGCAGACAATGCAGATATATACCAAGGTTTTACCTAACAGCTGTTTGGGAATGACCTTGAAAAATCCAATGAGATATGAGATGAGAAACAGAGATGATTCAAGACTTTTGCACAGTACTCCATATGAATATATTAGTACATCTTCAGGCCTTTAGCATTAGAAACCTCATAATACACATTTATGTTTACATTTTTTATATGCTATAATTTCTGCTGTGCTGTGTGAGGCATACTAAAGTAAGGCTTTATTGTGATTTATCTCTGTCATTTCCTCCTGAAAGGAAGTCGAGAGTTAAGGAGACACCAGCACACTACTCACACTACTAAACCATATTTATGAAAGCTGGCTGGTTGGTACCAGACTGCACTAAATGCTATTAATGTTTCATTGTTTAAACCAAACTAAGAAGCAGTGTGGACAGTTCTTCATACCCGTGTGTGCTGCATATGGGAGGAGTTAACTTCCCTACCAATAAAATGTTCCTCATTCCAAGAGAGCCACAAAATTAACCAGTTATGTAAATTTATATACAGTATCAAACATGGTAATGATGCTTATAAATTAGGATGAATTGTTTGTAAGAGACACTTGATTGTTTTCAGTGTATCAGGTATCAGTGAAACCTTGGGAAAAGTTCAAAACTTTGTCCAGCACAGCGGTAAAGGAAACACGAATTTAAATGTAAATATTTCAGGTTCAAAGGCACAGGCAGAGACTCACAGGTGAAGTAATGTCATTCTGGAACTTTGCACTTACAACGGAAACAGGAATACAAGATCAAGGCTTGCCGCTGGCCCGCTGTTCTCTCTGCAAAGCAGGTTTTAGACCACTTCCTCTTCCTCCCCAGTGAAGCAGGTCTGATGTTTAATCAATGGGGCATCAAAACATTCCCTCACTAACAATTACAGAATAAAAGTGGATGAACTGGCTTGTACAGGACACCTCAGCCTGTTCTCACTCCCGAGGCATAATACACTGACGATTTGTCAAATCCGGAGGAGTTCCTGAGGAACGCGAAAGGTGACCTTCCGCGTTCTTATGCTACGCATGGGTTACGGATGAAATCCAGCAGAATGAGCTCCCGCGGTAATACTCAAGTGTTTTCTGATTTAAGTAAAACGAACATACATATGTAGATTCATTCCAAACGGTTCTCCTGTTTCCTCATTATTACACAATGACTACCATCGTCTTGCAGCCGAAATCAAGACCAGCAATGCTTTGGTGGGCCTGTGTTAAGTGTAGTCTCAGTTTCCTGTTCTTCGCTAACAGGAGGGGCACCCGGTGTGGTCTTCTGCTGCTGTAGACCATCCGCTCTTCAGAAATGCTCTTCTGCATACCTTAGTTGTAACAAGTGGTATTTGTGTTACTCTCGCCTTCATATCAGGTTGAAGCAGCCTGGCCATTCTCCCATGACCTCTGGCATCAAAGACATTTTCACCCAGAGAACTAACTCCAGCTCACTCAGTGTTTTCTCTTTTTCTGAACATTCAGTGAAAACTCCAGAAATGGTTGTGTGTGAAAATCCCAGTAGATCAGCAAGTTCTAAGATACTGAGGTGAGCCAGGGAGCCCAGCTGGCACCAACAATCATGCCAAGTCATTTAAATCACCTTTCTTCCTCATTCTGATGCTAGCTTTGAACTTCAGCGGGTCGTCTTAGCCATATCTACGTGTCTAAATGCACTGAGTTGCTGCCGTGTGGTTGGCTAATTGGATATTTGTGTTAAACAAAAGTTGAACAGTTGAACAGGTGTACCTAATGAGGTGGCCGGTGAGTGTAGAAGTCAGGGAGTTTGAGAGAACATTCACATTCTTGTTTAAACTTGAGGGGGTGATTATTTCACAAGAAGAAACTAATTATTTTCCAAATCAAACTTATTTAAAATCATAAATGACTCTGAAGAATAAGTGCTATGAAGATGAGATCATAATCCACTATCAAATGTCAAGTATCAGTGTCTTCCCCTGAAGATATTATATGATATTCTCTCTCTTCTCTGAATAGCTCAGCTGAGTCTTTCTTTTAGCTCTGGCTAAGTTTTCTTCCTAGAGACTCTCAGCCTGTAATCCTAAGGTGGTTTACTGTAATTACCAAAGACATCAAGCTGTTCCAGGGACTCCACTTCTTTAAACGTCTGTGTCTTTCCCCTTAGTGAAGAAAGGCAGGCTTAGTTTTTCCTCTTTTTTTTTTTTTTGTTTTGTTAATGTACTATCCTCAAATTAGAACCAGTGAAGCTGACTGGATACACTTAATGATAGAGCCTTTGTCTGAACACTTAAGTGTAAATAAATTACGCAACTGCACATCATATAATTTTCTGCATTTAAAATAGGAGTGGCATGAAAATAGATCAGCGAGCTGCGAGAAAGTAAGAGGCATCGTTTACAAGCGCTAGTTGTAATTATATGGAGCGCTTCTCCTTATCTAAGTACATAACATCAAAGGAATTTATAGTACCAGTGAGAACATGTAAAACACAAAGCAGTCCAAATATACATGTGAGCTCAACGCAAGAGCTGAGCATATATTACTCACCCCTGTCTAAAGTCCTAACCAGAGTTATTTTACAGTGAGATCACTCATGTGTGACATGACCACAACTTCCATTATTGTGAAGCTTTTCAGTGTGGGAGAAAAAGAGGCTTTAAAATAACCTACACACTTTATAGTGCACAGTGTACAAAGGTAGCAAAGAATAACAAAAACCATTTATGCATGAAAGCCAGTGCGTGTTTGTCGTGGGTTGAACCTTTCCAAAGAAGCTACCTTTGGAATTTTCATCAGAAGTCTGTTGACCTCCAGGAGCTCCTCTCACAAAGCCGCCGTTCTATATTTACAACGGCCTTCATTGTATTTCGGTCATGTGGACAAAGTGGTTACTTTTATGCAGGTGTCGTGGAGCAAACAAGCGTGAATGACAAATAATGTAACAGTGGTGTCTGAAGCCAGGATGCAAAACAGCAACTGGAGCGGAAGGACATTGTAGGAAAATAATAATGTGGGATTATATGGTTTAATCTCTAGTTTAGTTTGTCTATAAGGTAAAGTCATTTCCCTTAATCCCACACCTTCCTGGGTGCAAGTGACAACAGGAAAATAGAGCCTCTGATAGCTTTAGGTAAGAGGTCATATGGCGGGATGTTTTATATGAATTTATGATCACCTAAGTTAGTGTTAGTGAATTGTTACATGTTCTGTTTGATCCAGGGCTCTCATATTCTAGATGCTAAGTAGAAAACTTATCTGGGCTGATGTTTCAGTCCTGGTGTCAAAATAAAAGTTTCAAAACCTTTGTTACTAAATGCAAAAGAGATTGAATAAAGCATAATTACAGCAAATTAACATAAAATGCAGTTACAACAGTTTTCCTGTAAATCCAATTACAGCGGGATATATTTGCTGTTACTCAACCTGTTTACAGTGTAGGCCTCAAGAGAGGTGGCTCCTTGCAGGGCAGGATGGTTATTAAACAGGACTATATCCTCTTTGCAGGTCTAGCACAGAATTAGCTGTGGCGTAGAAGAAGCAGATCCTGCACTTTCAGCACTGTTGTGTTACTGGGACATATCACAGGGAAGTGCAAGAGAAACATTTTTGACAAGACAGATGAAGAGAGACGGCGTATGGGCTCCTTCTGGAAGAAGATCAGACAGGGGGCTGGACACAAAATGCCATGGTCCAGGAGAAGTGCCACCAAATACCTGTCCGATGGAGGTGGCATCAACTTCTCAGAGGTTAGACAATATTTAAATAAAATGTGCTCGAAAGCAAAGAAGCCATCACCATGCACTTTACTGCTGACCTTATTTATTTAATTGAGTGAATTTTCCATATAATTTTGTTACACAAGAACGTAAAACGTTCAATTCAACGGAATCCGGTCAAATTACATGTAATTAATTGGCATACAGTCAGTTTGTACCAAGCATGTGCTCTTTACTGCTTAATTATATGAGTAAATAAAACTTTTATTTTATATATTTACATATTTTCAGTTTTTTATTTTATTTAACCTTTATTTATACATGTAATCCAATTGTTTCAATATAAAAGAGACTAACTAAACTAACTAAATGAAAATCGCGAAAATTGTTTACACAATATTAAAACGGAAAAATTCAGATGCATTTTACTCATATTTATTTCTTCATGTTTATAAGGGCAAATAAGACATAGCCATTCATTTATATTCAGCATTAGTGACAACATTGTATTCATTCATAAATAATCCATTATAAGACAAGAAACCTTAATGATTGCTAATGTGCCTTGAAAGAGAAATGTGTTAAATAGCATATAGGTCGAGTAGCGTTAAGATAGTCGTCATCATATCCACTATTATTATTATGGGAAGAAGAAGAATATCCCGTGTCTAGGAAAAACACTGAAATATGAGTAAGTATACAGACAGCTTTAAGCCCAAAATAAAAATGGTCATGTTGGAAAATATGTCAGCAATTGTAAATATGGGCTACACCGTGGTTCAGTGCATTCCACTTGCATAAGGTAGGCAGGTCTGCTTTACTTTAGCACCTGACAGTCAGACAGACGGCAGAGGGAGGCAGAAGCGCAGCGGGGTCCAGGTCTCTCCACCTCTCCCCGGGCGTGTGTCGTATTTAACAGTTACTCGCGAAGAGCAGAGTCTGTAAAAACACAGTACTCAAAGAAACCGTGTCCAGTAACTTTGAACAGCTCTGATTTTTCACTTATTTTTATGTGTTGTCGACACTTCCCGACGAGAAGATGAGCGGCGGCGTGACGCGGGCGGTGGAAAAGGGAGAAGAGGACGACGAAACTAAAGTGAGTGATGCTGCGTGACACTGGTTTAAAAGCACTAACTACTAAGTTTAGCGTTGCACTCACCCGGATTTCATACTGGGCACATTTTGGTCCACAATGACATAGTTCCCATTAGACTTCCCAATTTTTAAGAGCAGTTTTTCATATGAAAGCGAAACTTTTACCCGCAAATAAGAATAATAATAATAACCTCACATGAACTATGTAAAATAATGTGACGTTAAAGCAAAAATCTATCCTTCCTCATCCTCGTTCACCATATTTGCATCACGTTTCCTTTGCTGAACACAACGCAGACTGTTTTTATAAAGATGGCAAATCGAACAACATCACTTAAGATGAGAATTAGGATCCTTGGGCTGATGTCTATATTTCTCTAACAGTGTGGGGACATGATCGTGAACATTTTTAGTAATACTTAATAAAAAATTTGAGTAAACGCTTCTACTCACCTTTGACCGGCAACACTGTTAATTATAAGCTACGACTATTTAACTAATGACTCTTATTTTAAATAAATAAATAACTCACCTGTGCTGAGGTACTCAATATATGATGCAGTGTTAACTTTTCTTGTTGTTTACTTAAAAAGTGGAATAATGGCAAAAGATGTGGGCTGACCACCAATGCTGAAGTCACTTCAATCAAGGGATTCTGAAGCGCTCACTAATTTTTTAATGTTTTAAACTTTCAGGACCTTAGAGATTAGTTATTCATAATCACATGGCCATTAAACGACAATAGTGTAGATCAGGGGTGGGCAATTCATTTCCCCAAGGAGCTGCATGAGAAACTATTTAACTCTTGAAATTAACCAATATTCATTTCATCTCTTTATAAGCTTCTTAAGGAAAGTAATTACCCACCTTTGGACTAAAAACTTGCTGCTGTATCCTATAGAAGCTGCAGAAAGAAATTTGATTACTATAAATAAACTATAAATAATGCTAACTGCAGCACATATATATTTTAAAGCAGAATTTAATAGCACATATGGCAATCCAAACCAAAACTGTGATGCTGCACCTGCATCAACAACTTCTAAAGGCAGTATACTTCTGATGTCACATATAGCAATATTCCTGGTGTATAAGAAATCAAAATCTAAGCAATAAAAGCATTTAAAGTAATTCCAAATGTTCTGTGATTTCAAAGAATAAAAAAATCTCAAGCAAGTCCAGCCACTGTATTGCAGTGCTTCTTGTTGCTTGACTTTAGTTTTATTAATAACTTCGCCTGCACAGAAAAATAAGCACTACCATTGTAGATACACCAATATTCTCGTCCAATCAGAAGCTGGTTCAATCCTTGGCTGCTCCAGTCTCCAGTCTTTCTCAAACTGAGTTGCGTGTGAATGTGTGTGTATGATGTTTACATAGAAAGCACTTACATGTATAAAGAAGTGCTTTTGGGAATGCTTAGAGTGATCAAGTAGAGAAGGGAAGTGCTACACCTGAACCTTAACCGTGACCATATACAATAAACTTTTTAAGAATGAACTGATGTGTTCACACAAGGGAAATGTAAATGCTATCAACTCATTAAACACCAGTGAACAATTATAGCCTCTAGCCGTGTTTTGTTTTTGTTTTTTATTACAGATACAGTAACTGTAATCTTTCGAGCCATTGTAGAAGGATTACAAAGCAGGTGACCGGACATTCAAGAAAGTCAAATTTACAGGGAACTCTGAGCGTCACAGCGCTCATTAAGAATGTGCCGGTACTTGTTGGTTTGGTAGTTAAGTAGAAATATGATCACTGGCAATCAAACAGTTTTTTTTTCTTCCAACTGTCTTGCGCATTGTTTTCTTGAGATGCTTCCTTGTAGATATAAAATGACAACTATTTATTGTGAATCTGCCAAGTAAAATATTAAACATTGCGTGATGCTGTCAAGATCTCGGTTAAATTAATTTAGTGCTTTAAATCAATGATTTTATACGTGTCGAGTCCTGTTGTGATGCCACATGTGGTGCATGGTGGCAGCGCGAATGAACCGATAATTTGTTTATAAAGACTCTTGGCAGGAAGCAGAAATCTTTCCCAACAAATGCACTCAGGCTGTTCAAGCATTTCTCCCTCTACTGATAGATCTGGTGCAACAAATTCATATGTAGATGAGAACTGTTTGTGGTTTGGAGGGGATCTTGTTTGTGTGGACTGTTCTGAGATCGTTCTTGACTATAGTCTCAGCAGATGCATGCAGCTGAGAAGACAGCAGTGTTTTCACATTCAGTTAAGTAACAGGTGAAATAAATTGCTGAAAAAGTAAATAAAAGCAACCAAATTATTTCATTTTCTGAATCGCCTCTTCACAACCATGCCTGTCAAGTAATACGATGTGTTTGTGCTCATATGCTGTGTTTAGTTTTCTCCAGATGTAGTGCTTTGCATTAGGGCCAGACATCTTAATTTTGGTTTAATCTGTCCAAAGAACATTGTTCCTGTCTGCGTTTTGTCCTGCCTCCTTATGTTCTCTATTCTTTTATCTTCTCTTCCCTACCTCATTCCCAAACCGGCTGTGTCAGATTGCTGCCTCTGTTGGAGATTTCTTCCTGTAAAAAGAGACTTTTTCTTCCCGCAGTCACAAAGTGCATCTATGGGGTTACTGAGTTTTTCCCCAGAATACAAAATCTTTACTTTTCAACATAAAGCACCTTGAGTTGACTGTTCTTTCCCCCCCGACTTTTCAAAAAGAAAATCCACCAATATAGCCGATATTAGATTATTTTACATCATAAAAATGTATTTTAAGGCCACCTAATGTGAAAGAGTTACAGCTATGACTTTTTAGAATAGGTTTAGTGCCATCAGAAACAATTTAAGGCGGTTTATTGTAGTTTTATAGCTAGAAGTAAAAGTGCAATGTTAGTTTTTTGTCTCAAAAATCCTCCCAGTTTTCTTATTCAGAGAGCCTGAGACCCACAGGTGTTGAACTCCAGGCCTCGAGGGCTGGTGTCCTGCAGGTTTTAGATGTGTCCTTGATCCAACACAGCTGCTTTAAATGGCTAAATGACCTCCTCAACATGTCTTGAAGTTCTCCAGAGGCCTGATAATGAACTAATAATTTGATTAAGGCGTGCTGACCCAGGTTGAGATCTAAAACCTGCAGGACACCGGCCCTCAAGGCCTGGCGTTTGACACCCCAGGATAAGAGCCTTTGGGTATATTGTATATTGTGTACTGTATATTGTATATATCAGGCAGAGAAAACATGGGTTTTTTCACCTTAAACATGGCCTCAAATAACCCATTTAAATACATTTAGAGGTTTATTTTGTATTAAGTAATGGTAACGGTAATTTAAGGGTAATTTTAGGGTCTCTTGTGTCATGTCTGTGAACATGATGTGAACAACAAGCGCATTCTAGGTAAGGTTGTTATTAAAATACCTTAGCTGGATTCCAATGTGGTTTGCTTAGCTCCACGATGTACTTGGAGAGCGACGTGGGAGAGATCGCATGCAAGTCTTTTGTTTGTATTACAAACACGTCTAAAGGTTATGTTGGCACTACTCACACGTCAACAAAAACAACTGAATGACAATGACAGCTGGAAGACAGTGAACCGAGGTTAAAGCAGCACTTAGAAGTTAGTGAAAGAATATGGGGATTTTACATATGTTTGTACATATATCACTAAATCAGAGCACGTGTATATATGACTTTTCCCTATGTTAAACATGAGTAAAAATGCTTTGTTGATACTCTATAAAAGTAGAAACCCCATATTGTTTATAATTGTGAAAATGGTCCTGCACAACTTTCCAAAGACTAAATATGTCAATTGATGATTTTGTACTGTCCAACAGGAAACCAGAAGATTTAGATCATTAGTTTACTAACAAAAAATAACAAAGAAACCATAAAATAAGCATGTTTAAGAGTCCTTCTTAGATGGTCTGCTGTCTCCTCATTTGACAAAACAAATGATTAGTTGATTGTAAGTTGAACTGTGGCTTCATTATAAGCTTCAAATGGCCACAAAACACGTTATGTAACAGAATATCAGGATTAATATCATTTAGGAGATGTGCGTACTAAGTCAAAGATAGCTGGATAAGCATGCACTAACATGAACATATTTGGTCGGTGCAGCATTTGACTTTTGTTTGCATGGTTTTGTTTGCTCTGCACACACGCACCGTGCCAGTAACTCGTTATATAAAGATACTTCATTAATCTCTGTTATGTAACTCTTAACACATTCCTCAGTGTGCTGCAAACTACCACTGTCACTATGTGGCAGATAAATGAGGTCATTCCTCATGCGTACAGTAAGATACTAACAGATCAAAGAAATGATTAAATGCCCAAAATTAGCGTGACATTGATACCCATGATGAGTGTATGTAAAATTGTAATCACAACTGCTTTCCTTTGTCACATTCATCAACAAAAGATGTTAAAACAAAAGCTCAGTAGGTTCTTATGTTTAGACTCAAGCTGACCATTGTAATATTTGTTTAAATTCAACGCCAACAAAGTTTTTAGTCCACAGTTCTGTATAATCTAATCAGTGGAAATGCTCCCTCCAGTTTTTTCCATGCTGTATTTAACATCACAGTCCTGTAGGGAAGCTCTGAACTGCGTGCCTCCTTGAGCTGGCGCTCTCGCTGTAGCTCTGACGGGAGAATAATCTGGAGGGGGGAAAAAAAAGGGGTTGGGCAGCTGATGCAGCCTCGCCCAGCCATGTAAGGCAAGACAGCCGTGGCTTCCCATGTACTTAGTCACACAGATAGAGACAGTCTGGATCGCAGCTGCCTGATCATCCCCGGGAAAAGTCCCAGACAACTTTCTCAGCCCAGGTAGATATAAGTGTGATTCTTTGTGAGATAAAGTGGCATGGTGATTATTATCATGGTGATTATTATGAGGGTAAAGTCTGTGATGGTTCTTGTGGTTGTAATATTTTGCTTTTGCATGGTGAAGTATAGAGCGGTGGTTGGCAGATGATTCATTTAGCTTTGTCTTCCCAGTAGACCAGTCGATACATGAT